CGATAAGCAAAAATTACTTTGAACGTGAAATATTAAATGTGAACTAAAATAATTCTATTCTTTGCTAACCCGAAATGATTCTTATATAATAAGTGATTAATATTAAATTCATATAACGTACCTAACCTTTGGTATAGTTAGTTATAAATAACAATTTTTTTATGAACTTTGTCCCCTGGCTTTTTTGTCACACAAAATTGCCGTGATACTTCTGAACTTTGCCCTTCGTGTATTAAATGTCATAGTTCAGAAATTTTGATATCACGTATTTTCGTTTAATATTTTCTGCTACTTTGTATATCTGCTAAAACGCGTTAAAAATTAATGAAATTCGGTAGGTATATGTAAGGACGGTAATGTTTTTATAGAATATGTACTGTGTACTATTTAATACTATTTAATAATATTACTTGTAATGGCGGTGTAAGAATATCCACTACCCCATATCGCCCATGGGCGTTGTAAGAGGCGACAAAAGGAAACAAGCCAAGAGATGGGCAGCAGTGTCTTTTTATAGGATAGGGTGACAAACGAGCACATAGTCCACCTAATGGTACCACTTACCATCAGGTGGACTGTGTGCTCGTGCTGTGACCCATAGTCATCTACATTTATCCTCAATAAAGAATTAAAATGCTGATACGTCGTCACCCGTTAGGACTAAGATGGAATGCCTCTTTTCCAGTAAAATGGGTCTCCGGTTCTCTACACTCACCATACGAAACACAGCAGTGTTAAGCTGCTATTTTACGCTGGTATTCTGTGAGAGCGTGGTCCTTCCCCGGTCGAGCCGACCCATTCGTGCTACAACTATACTACTCTCAAAAAATTAAATAAATTCAAAGTCAAAAATTATAATATATTTGATATTTTACAAAAAAATAAATGTTTATTGTTTACTATTACATTAACCAAATACAAACATTGTTTTTTTTTGCGTATTTTGTAATGATTTGAAAATGAATCCTATCACAAAACCAGCGCGTTAAAAAAAAACGGTTGATTTAAATTAATTGTGAAAAAATCTTCGTAACGTAGCCTCCGTACGTACCGTCCGAATGCAGCGTAAATAATTTTGTATAAATTGACGACGTAATCTCGCACCACTATTTGTTAACTAAAATAAATCCAAACTTCAGGAAGAATTCCCTCATAGCATAGCAAGGAAAGGAAAGGAAACAACGGAAGGCTTATTGTGAAGCAATGAAATCAGAAATCAAGCAAAGTAAGAAATCAAGAATTATAATAATAATAATAATAATTTATTGATCCCAAAAATATAATCGTACTTTATAAACAAAACCGAGACGTTGACTTTTGACAACTTGAAAGGAAGGAAGACAATATATCTTTTACATATATCTCTAGATATTGGCCTCACCTCACTTAGCATAATTTGTAACGTCCTTTGGATGTCAAATAAATGCGATCCCTTATTTTGAGACCTTTAAATAGTAAAATGGGGTTTACAAATGAACAATCTCGCAACGGTATCAAAATCAGCACGGTCATCAACTTTCTTTACATACCGAATTGCATTGGTCTTTAACTTATCGACGATAAGCAAACTTGATGTTGCCAAAAAGAAGCATTTATCCCGTTTCTGCTAAACTTTAGTCAGACTCAAATGAATACCTTTATTACTATTAGCAATTTTTTAAAATCTAAAACAATTATACCTAGAATTTACTGATTTATGTTAAGACAAACCTTAAGTTTGAACTATTCTAGGCACCTGCTCTATTCGGTAGTTACGATGTAGACGGAATTTATTACCCTCGTGCCGCAGACAATACGACACGATCCATAAGCTTACCTTCAACTTGAAATAGGCTTACGTGAGCTTTGCTTCGCTCGATTTCATCGTTTATACGAACGCGTCAAGTCTCCAATGCTTGTTCAGCTACTTTTATTTATTTAAAAGGGAAAAACCGGCTTTAAGAAAGAAGGAGGTCCTAAATCCAACTGTCTTTTTATAGAAAAAGAGTGACAAACAAGCACACAGTCCACCTGATGGTAAGTGGATGCTGTGACCCATAGACAACCATATACATCTACATTTATCCTCAATTAATAATCAAAATGCAAATGCGTTGTCACCCCTAACGACTAATACGGAATGCCTCGTTTCCAGTAAAGTCCAGTTCTCTACAACCAACATACGAAAAACAGCAGCATTAAGCTTCTATAGTATATGTTACGCGATATCTTCATCAGTTGTGACCTAGTCTTGAAGATTAAATTTTATTAATTTAGGTACAGTTCTTAGTTTTGTTGGTAAGCCTAGTCACATTACGGTAAAAGTCTTCTGCAAAAGAGGTAGAGCTGAGGTCCAAACGAAGCCTTATCTCGGCCATCTAGGCGCATTAAAATATGAAACTAAATAGTGGGACGCCTACGTCTTGACTACGCCGCAACTGTCGATCAAGACGTAGGCAGCGGTTCGCGTGGGCGTACCTCTTGAATGACCAACCATGTCGCGGCTCTTGTCTCTGTGGACGGTTTGTTTGTAGTAGAATATATAATATGTTATCTATCTCGATAATCGTGTAGAGGCGGTGTAAGAATATCCACTACCCCATATCGTCTCGTGGGACAGTAAGAGGCGAGAGAGGGAAACAAATCAGGAGATGGGCAGCGGCGTCTTCTTAATAATGATCAAAAATAACAATAAACTGTGGCAAATATCTCCAACGACAATCTATGGGGGAGGCTTATGTTCAGCAGTGGACTTTAATAGGCTGTGACGTAAAGCGTAAAGCTATTTTATACCTAATGCTGTCTTATTTGTTTGAAGAAAGCCGCACTCGACATTTATCGTCAAAAATATTCATCTTAACAGGAAAGATCTGCGCTTAAGAACTTTCTTTAATATAGGCCAAATGATCACTTATTCGGTTATCGGCAAGTGCCTTCAGATGAGTGACTACTTAGAAGAACTGAAGCATTTTCAGTTTGACCTGTATTAAGCTACCTCTCAAATGCAAGGGAAACCTTTGAAATATTTTTTCTTAATAAAGTAGGGGACTTTAAGAATCAATTTACATTTTTACATAATTTTCTAGTATACTGGTATTATTAATATCGTTACAGATACGAAAGTTTACGAACGGTAATGAAATATTGCCAACTGTTTATTTAGGTATGCAATAATTTAAAATTTAAAATTTTGTATAACTGACTTCAATATAAGTTATTAAGAATAACTCAAAAACTATTGATCAGACCTTGATCCTATTTATATGGGACTACATGAGAAGCACCAACTTTCAAATAAAAGAAGATCATCGAAATCGGTTCATCCAGAAAAAAGTTATGAGGTAACATACATAAAAAAACACAGTCAAATTGAGTACCGTCTCCTTTTTGAAGTCGGTAGACAAAGTAATTCTAAACGATAGAAAATATATTTAATTACAATCATTAAAATTAATTATATTCCCGTTAGTAAGCTATGTTTTGCTGTAATTATATTACGTTGGGTAAAATTTTCTGCTGGATGTAATATACGGAACATTTTCCTGACATTGTTTTATGCTTAATTACGGATAGTCATCATCATCATCATCAGCATAGCAGCCTATCTCACGTCCACTACTGAACATAGGCCTCCTTCAAGGAGTGACATGAAGCATGTCCCTGAGCCTCCTGCATACATCTTTTTTTTATAGGATCGGGTGACAAACGAGCACACAGTCCACCTGATGGTAAGTGGTTACTGTGACCAATATATATCTACATCTATCCTCAATAAAGACACAAAATGCAGATGCGTTGTCACCCGTGAGGACTAAGATGGAATGCCTCTTGTCCAGTAAAAAGGGTCTCCGGTTCTCTACACTCACCATAAGAAACACAGCAGCGTTAAACAGCTATTTTACGCTGCTATTCTGTGAGAGCGTGGTCCTTCCCCGGTCGAGCCGACCCATTCGTGCTACAACTATATTACTAATATAGCTGCAGCATGGCTCTACCACGTAATAAATCGACTTCCAGCAAGTCTTACTAGGTCATCACTCCATCTAGCGGAAAGCCGCCCCACACTTCACTTACCGGTACGAGGCTGCCTCTCGAGAAACTGTCTTTATAATTTAATAAACTTAAAATTTTAATAAAAATAAAATCCAGCTTTAAATCACTATAAAAATAATATAATTTCCAAATAAAAGCTTTTGAAGTTGGGGTTGTAATTCGTCTATACCATCGATCACTAATAAAAAGATCGATGGTCTATACACTTTGTCTTGGCATCGAACTCAGAAGCGTTTATGTGAAAGTAATATTATTTTATTCTATTCTATGTTGTTCTTTTTATTTTTGAATAACATAGAACGTTGCTAGTGGTCCCGTGAAAATTTTCCCACATTTTTACGGGACCACTCATGAAGTATAACCTATTTGCTAAACAAAGAATCATTAAAATCGGTTAAAATTGACAAAGTGATTGCGATAAATACATACAAAAAAGAAAACCCTCCTTTAAAAAAAACAAAGTTGCCACGTGAAATAGTCTATTCAAGATTATTCTAGGAAAAAAACGTTATATCGTATCATTAGGACTTTGTCCAGATTTGTTGAGAAGTTTTACATACATAAATTACTCAAGGACATAACGTCGATATCCGGAATAATTTATTTATTTGTAAAACACTTATTCTATGTGGGATTTGAACATGCCGTCCGCCACCGCCCGCAGAGCTGAGCCTTAAAACATCGATTTAATTTCAGAGTTCGCAAACTTGAACGTCGAATTTAAGAATACGTTTTATGAACTCCCATAAAACGAGATAGAAGTGGAGTTTCTTTTGTGAATTACCTAATGGAGCGAAATTACGAAACACGTTACTGCATCAAACCCAAAGCAAAATGAACCTTGCATCTATTGATTAACGTTTAAACTTCTTTATTATATTGTCAAAAACGTCATTTATTGTCGTCAATGCGAAACTATTTAGCGTAAGCAAATTTAGTAAATATAGGCTTTAAAATAAGGTTTCTTTTTGCAGGCGGACGCCAGTACCGCTTTTCTGCGGGCTGCGCGCGCCGGCCAGATAGACAAGATCATCAACCTCCTTGAACAAGGAGTAGACATTAACGTTAGCAATGCTGTAAGTATTTTTAATGTCTTATTTATTATACGTATTATTATTAATATGCAATATTAATTAATATGGATACTTCCTGCTCCTAAGCCGTGTTAAATCAGGGGCTAAGCGCTCGCTGTATATTTAACAACACGCAAGCAAAATCCCCGAGTTCGATCAATTCCATGTTAGTTACAAAGTTAAGTACTGATTTAACACGTTTTTGACAGTGAAGGAAAACATCGTGAGGGCACTTGTATATCCAAATAATAAAAAATAAATATTTCCAAGACACCTGAAATCCATCACGCATCGAAGCAGCGCGGCAGACTTCTCCTCGCACTAAATCCCTCTCAGAAATGAAAGGAAATCTGTGCCCAGCTGTGGGGCGTATATTTTTTTGTAGAATAAGGGTGGCAAATGAGCAGACAATCCATCTGATGGCAAGTGAATAGTGTAATGTAATTAAAATGCAGATGCGTTGTCACCCCTAATGACTAAGATGGGATGCCTCTCTATCTAGTAAAGAAGGTTTCCGGTACGAAACACTCGCCGATTTTTTTTAAACTGAAATGATCAACGCCAATTTCAAACAAAGAAGGTCTATAGGGCCAATAGTGGCCAATTGTGATATTACAAAATAGATTAGTATATTTTTTTGTCATCACACGGCCATATATAGACCAAAGAATGAAAATTTGTGGTTTTTATAGAAAATGGTATTCTTTCAATAAAACTATAAGTACATAATCGCTTGTCAGTAAAAATTGAATAAGACCTTTTTACTGGTGATGAAATGAAGTAACGACAGAAAATAATTTATTAATGCTGCAGCATGTAATGGCTACAGCACAAATGGGTCTGGGAATTGGGCTTGACGGGGAAGAACCCGAACGGGGAAAAACTTTCACACACAATACTAGCTTAAAATTGTGTTATAATCGTTCTGAGTTTCGTAAAGTGAGTGACGAAAACTAGATGCGCTTTTATCGGACGGCTTAGCTTAACAAAAGCCTATTCACAATTCCTTGAAGACACATTATGAACAGACAGATGCTGGCAAGTTCTTCCACACCTTGGCTGTACGCGTTATGAACGACGAAGCAACAGCGTGATATGACTATAAGGGCGTGGAGACCAGCCGAATGACTGTTGGTCCGATGAGAGAATGGAGAGGAAAGAATTAAGTCATGCAAATCATGCGCACACTCTCTGATATGACGGTATTATGTTTATGTACGGATGTACTGTTGGATGAACTGTTTGCTCGTTTGTTACCCTCAAATAAGGAAAACAATAAACTAATCTTAACGGAATCGGTGGCCTTAATTTAGTCAATTATGAAATGCTACGGATAAAACTCATAAATGCCATTTCTATCGTATTTTCCCTACAAGGAAACAGTGTGCACTGTTTCCTTTATGGCACAGAACGGTAATGACATATTAATGTGGAAACTGTTATTTCTTCACGCTTCCGTCGTTTAATATCCGTGTAACCCCTTCATATCGTCATCATCATTAAAGCACTTCAGAAGTCGACTGCTAAACATAGCCTCCCCCCAAGGAATACCACAAAACACGGCCCTGAACCACCTGCTTCCATCGACTTCCTGTATGTCTTACAAATTCGTCACTCCATCTAGTGGGGGGATGCCCTACACTTCATCTGCCGGTACGAGTAACCGTAACCTTTTTTCCCCATCGGTTGTCGGTTCATCGAGCTATATGGTAGGCCCATTGACACTTCAGCATAGTAATTTTTTGGGCTATTTCGGTTACTCTGGTTCTACTGCGGTTACCTGATATCCTCGTTTTTGAGTCTATCATGCAGAAAAACACCGAGTGGCCATACTCGCTGAGCGACTTTGAGCTTCCTCATACGGCCAGCAGTGAGCATAGGAACAGTATTAAAGTTGCGTAAGTGCCGCCGCATGCATTTGGAGCTCTGCCTGTTCAGTTGCCTGTATGCTGTCAAATCTATTGAAGACTGCAGCTTCATTTTTCGTCGAACAGCCACGAGGTTAAGAGTGTGATCGGATAGTTTTTGTGTTCTTCTGCGGCGGGTCTTGCAAAACTCAGCTCCGACCGTATGGACAGTTTCCACTAGCTTGTCATTCATATCGTCCAGTTCATTTCAGCCTTCTAGCCACTGAAAATGGTTTTGTAACCCGACCTGAAAGGTTTCAGGACTTTGAATTAGAGAACGAGGGGGACAGAGCGCTGACTTTATTACACGAGACCTGTCAATCTCATTTTTTGTCGAACCGTCGGGGCTCGACCAGGTCCACTTCCTGTGGGGCCACTTCTGGAAGAAAGAGTTCATCATAAAGAGTCGCTCTTTCTCCATGAAATCGCCCAGCTGCTGGTCCCTTTGGTTCCGTTGCCCTATTCCAAATTTCCTTACCTTCAGCTCACCGTTCTCTCTTGTGCCTAGTTTTGCGTTGAAGCCTCCCATCAACACCGTATAGTGGGTTTCGGAAGAATGCATGACTCTTGATATATCTTTATACATTTCCTTCACCTTCTCGTCGGGATGTGCCGAGTTTTTATATAAAATATTATATTATTAGCCGTGGTAGCTCATGAGCTAAGCGCGCTCTGTAAATTTCACTGACGCTCACAGAATACCAGCGTCAAAATGCAGCCTAACTATTCCTCAGAGCACTCCCCGTGGTAGATGTGATAGAAAATGTAAAGGGATGCAACATCCCTAAGCAGCGCCAGTTAATAGAGCCAATCAGAAAGAACTTGGTTGTCGACGACTTGAACCGTTCTGCGCTGGATGCGGTCAAGTGGAAGGAGCTGACACTGGGGTGCCCCGACCCAGAGATGAGAACAGTATTCCATGTGAGGCCGAACTTGCACTTTGTAAAGTTGCAAGCGATGTTTTGTGATGTGTGTGCATGAAATACTGTCTCGCTCTGCTGAGCACGCCAATTTTTTTAGAGGCCAATTTGACCTTTCCTTCCAAGTGAAAACGAAACTCCACACTATTCGATATGTCGACGCCGAGAATTCCGATGCTAGGTGAGGCAGCAAGAGGAGTGCCTTGAAACTGAGGAGATATGACAAAGGGGTTCTTTTTAGTGGTAAACACGCAAACTTGTGTCTTCTGGGGATTGAACTGGACTAGATTTAGTCGCCTCCAATCCGAGACTTTGTTCAGCAAAGACTCGACTTCAGACACAAGTGTATCCCGGTACTCGGCGATGTTTTCCCGAGAAATATTGGCACGGCTGGTGTATAAGGCATCACCAGTGCCGCCGTCTGCATAGCAATGAATGCAACATATCATTGATATGCAGAAGAAACTGCGTTGGTAGAACACCAGCGTTAATAGGCTTGTAATCAGAGCATGTACCGTCTTTGATGCTCTGATCAACAAGAAAACTGGGGATCCAAATGCACAATTCTCGGGAAGCCCATAGAATGGGAGCTTACTTATATAACTTATCTACTTACACTTACTAATATCGTATAAATTATATTATATTTAAAAATATATAATATATACCACTTACGTCGCTTCTAAACTAATGTAACAAATTTTATTAAAACAAAAACGAAATATTACAAACAGACGATTTCCAAGAGGCTTCGAGAAGAGTACTCGCAACATACAAGATGAAAGCGAACTTATTTCGTTTATTTCGTCTCTTTTAGCTAACAATTAGGTTAAACTATGCATAGGTACGGTCGGAGAAATACGAGAAAAGTACATTTGCGTTATGAAACTGTAGGAAAACGTGCTTCATTCAATCCATATATTAACCTTAAACTCTTAACGTAGGATTTCTTTTTTCTCATAAGTTTACAATTCTTAAATACTAAGTACATATGTATCTTACATGATCATGTTATTGAATCATTCGTTCTTTGCACTCAACATTCAAAACACAGCAGCATTAAGCTGCAACTTCACGCTGGTATTCTGTGAAAATGTAGTCCAATCCCGGTCGAACAGACCCATTCGTGCTACGGCCATAATATAGTTGCAGTGGCGCTATGTCGTTAAGAAACAGGTGATGGATTCTCATAATATGTCGCCATCACATGGTTTCATAGGTTAATATGATTATAGGAGAGAACACTGAGCATCAGGTGACCTTTAGAAAAGGACACTTTAAAAAAGGATACTTGGCAAAAGTTCATTAGTAAGGGCAGTACTATCTTGTTCTGATGCAGCTTTCCGATTTAGTCTTGGCATTTGTGGTAAAGTGGCGTTAAAGAAACTCTTTCCTCCCGTAGAAGCCGTAGGAATCAACCTATGGAAATGTATAAACTATCTTAGTTTTTTTTTTCAAATAATAAAGTGATAAACAAGCTAAGTCCACCCGACGCTAAGTGGTTAATGCAGCAACTTCTACTGCAACATTGATATAAGCAAAATGAATATATTATACTCGTATATGCCCGAACATTAAATTACAACTATATTGCTTGCACTACGAACACAAGATAATCCATAAAGAAAAAGAAAACAGACGTAAGAGATACACTCTGACCGTAGTGCGAGCGAGATGCACCGACCGTAGCTCGCATGACAGTGTCTCGATTAGACGCAGTTTTCTTGGACCACTTTTTGCGACGTATCTTTTTTTTTTGTTTCATTCAATGTACCTACTACAGTAACAATTTCGAACAAAGGCCGCATTTGGATTGTCACCGCTTCCTTTACTTTTAGTTTCTTTTTCTGCCCCTGCTAAGTTAACGACATTTCACATGATGATGTTGGTTGATGTAAGTTTTTCCATTTCAACAATGCTTGCAAAACTTTACGTTCAGAGATTTGGCTATGATATTATTATATTATTATATTGATTAATTATTATATTCCAAACTTGTCACTTTTTGTTATGAAATAAGACGCCGTTATAATATCGCTAAGGACTCTCTTTCTTTCTTTATTTCTTATCCTAAATTTTATTCGTAAAATAGGCTCGAATGTAAAAGTTTTAAAATTTTTCAAATGCAATGTCGCTGAATTGGTTTTCAACTGTAAGTGCTATGAATGTAACTCGG